CTTGGGACCGGCAGTAGCCCCGAAGGTTCTACTGGCGGAGTTGTATCTATGGATCAGTAGAAATAGTATTGAAATTTAATTATTAAATATTCTTTTCACAAGTAACGCTAACTCAATCTATTGATTATAATGTTAATGTGTTACTCCTGGCATAATCTATTTTTGATTAGGTCATATAATCTCAACAAACAAGTTGAAGCGTTTAAGCAATAAAATATAGCAAAATAACTGAATCAATTAGCCATTTATGTTGTTACAGAACTAAATAGAATCTTGATAAATTTTAGTATCACAATTATGAACATTTGCTTATTAATTTATAGTCATGGGTAAATGATTTTATATCTGTTCTGAAATAATAGTGTTTATAGATCTAAAAAAATGTCCACATACATTAGGCATATCCACATACTTTTGAAAATTCATGTACTCAAGTAATTGCAGTATTTTCTTGTCACATGTATGTGTCTGGTAGACTACAATCCTATTCATGAAATGAAAAATTATTACTTCAACTACAAGTGATGAATATTCTTTTTTTTTCAGTTCATTAGCCATTTTAAATTATGCCATCTATAAAAACTATCCGTTAACATTCACTACAGAGGATATAGTTTTGTGAATAAATCACATCTCACCAGTCACGCTGTTGATCTGACGTTTTTAAGCTTCTGTATGGCCAAAGAGAACTGTAGTCAGTCACACTCTAACAACTACGAACAGCAATCGACATTTTCTTAGGGTCTTGCAGCTAAGCTTAACTGTTTAAAGACACAATAATATGCCATCTAAACTTGGAATAATGTCAGCCGTATTTCTTTATTCGATATTTTACCTAAATTTTTATCTTGTAGAACTTTCGGTGTATGGCTCAAACTGTGCGATTATTTAAAAACAATTTGAAGTCATTTATTTTCGTAATAAATTAATGATAACAATAAGTGATGATTAATATCAACTGTTTGTGATATTTTTAGGTTCCAGCAACGACTTCAAATGTTGACCTTCTAAGTGACTTCTTTGGGAATTCTGGACAGTCCTGAGTATTATCTAATTACTTTATGGAGGTGTTCCGTCTTACACTTATTATTCATTCCTCTTTATTCTTCAAAATAAGACTGTTTATAACATTCTAATTATGTTTAAGTCAGTCTTTCACTTAAAACCTGATATAGTGCTACAATATCAATATGAGGAAACTTGCTTACCGGCTAAGCGATTGTATAATTGTCAGGAATATGTATTCGTATGATATATATAATTTCTTTCAATGATTTTTTGTTCAATTATTCCCTTTGTGAATTTTATTTATGTAGTTTGATTTCATTTTAAGTATCACTGTAATGAACTATAATCAGGATAAACTGCTAGTGGTTAACTACGTTGCATAGTTGTTGCAATATTTCTCGATGAAACTCATTATTTATTTTCACATTTTATCTATAATATTGCTATCATGTCTAGTTTTCTTACACAATGTAGCGTACTGACTTCAGTTTTCTCAATATTATGGGAAAATTCTCCTCTTTTTCGTTTAAAGTTACCTGTGATAATTATGGTAACCCAATGTGTCGAGTAAAAATAAAGGGGACTTACCGAAGAAAATTTTCTCTTCAACGAAATCGCTTATTTTAGCCGAACGTTCGTGCTTATATTTGAATTTGTAAAGAAGAAAAAAACTGTATCATAAAATGATACGAAATTTCAAACACACAAAGTTTGCAGAATGATTAAGAGGTTAGAGAGAAGAGGAGGTGGGTGAAAATAATTTACAAGTCAGAAACGAGTGATGTGAAGAAAAAGCAAGTTATTACAATAGTAATCATGAAAAATTATTCTAGGACAATAATAAATGAATACACCTTATATTACAACCATGTTTATCTATCAACTCACTTGCACCTGTGGGCCAGGTTTCATTGACTGTACAAAAGGAACACTTCCCAAACACGTCTCGGAATATCACCAGGCACAGCCTTTATAGGAGGAATATAGAACAATCACTAGCTCAAATTCGATGCGCCTGAATCGAATGCACTCTATGTACAAAAAGTTCGTCTAACCTCGGACATTTATTTGGCACCCATTCCCTTCTCCAATTTCTCGGTCTTGCTATTATCCTAACAATTTCTTCATGATTACTACTGTTATAACCTATTTTTTTTGTTCTGTTCCGTAATTTACTTACATACTACTGTTCATCTCTAATCTCCTGATCATTATGCAGCGCTTTGATATTGGAAATCTCGTATCACTTTATGATGCAATTTCTTCTAACGTGCTGTAGACTAACACTTATTTAACAACTATAAATGTGTACAGCTTAAATGACCTCGTCGAAAAGAAAATTTTCCCCACTGAATCCTCTTGATTCGTACTTGTGATTAGTAACATTTTCTGAGTGCCAACAAGGGAACGATGAGCAGTCACGCATTTGGACGAGTATCAGTACTAGAAACCTATTCTCTGATGGATATAATTCAAAAATAGAAAATCCAGTTCTTATGCACTTTACACCGCAGATATCGCTTAACATGTTTGATCTCAATCCTCGTGCTATTATATTGCAAATAGTACCGATATTGCTCAAGTCAGATGGTCCTGAAGGTCTTTCAACTACACGGTCGAATAAAACCATGACTGTCGTGCCAATGAACTCTTTTTACTGGTCGTTATCATTCTCGTTTCCACTCATTGGCCGCTAAGAGCATTCGTTGTCGCATCTAGGTAATTGCAAGTTTACACTATACGAGAAAACATGACGACCTAGTAGTCGAAACTACAACTCGGTACTGAAGTCATTATTCTGGAGTTCGAATTAGGTGATGGAGCCGTAAATCTGTCCTATATTGTCTAAGAAACCAGGGTTTGTAGATACTTATTGACACGAGCCACAGATAATGTTTAGTATTATTTCCTTACTGTTATATTAGTCCGCCACCTGGTTAGTGTTTATTCAGTTGATCGACACAAATTTTGCTTACGAACCTTCTCACTAGGTTGCATTAATCCGATTCGCACAGCAGCTAGCACTGAAACTTATTAGATATCAGACAACCATACATCATTTGTCTCTTAGTAGCAATATCAGGACTTTGATTTCTGTACAAGTGGCGAAACAGATTGCTCTCGAAGATATTTTCTGTGAAATGGGCAATTGTCAATAGGTAACCTTAGTGAGTCAGTTTTAACGTGGAATTTCGTACGTGCGTACACCACATCAGGCTGCCATACCAAATTAGCACAGAGATACAACTGTCAGTGTGAATTGCATAATGGTAGAGATATTAGAACTAACGGTAATGGAGAATATTGGGGATAGATATTATTCAAGAAATATACTTCAGAAAGTTAGAATTTGAAAGAACATAACAATGGATACATCTTTTCCGCAAACTGCGCAAGCTCTCGTGTTACTCAAATCACCTTCATTGAATCTTAGGGTATGAAGAGCGGAACTGGAGAATTTTGGATTAGTGGCCCCCATGAAACGAACGTTATCAGATCAAGCTTCCATTAGGAAGCTTGTTGTCGTGACATAACTAGTCAGACAGCCCCTTAACACGGGTTTTTATTGTCTCGCGAGCCACGACCCGGTCGTCTGCACTCAATAAGACAACTGAGTCAAGTCATCAATGAGTTTATCGATTTGTGCCGTGTTTCGGTCTCGCCACCCCTAGCTTTCTCCCAGTTTACACTTACGTGGGACAACACTGACCTTTGAAGTTGTTGGTCATACGTAACACAAGTCTCAATTACCTCAGTTGGTAAGACCGGCATCGCATACTCGGCAGTCTCAGAGAACAGGAATAATGCTTCGAAGGCACCTATGATCGAACATCGGTAATTAGTCCTATCTTCAAGAACAGCATTTTAAATTAGTGAACGTTTCCTGGCTGCATACTAATACGGATATCCAACGATGGAAGCAGCAGTCCTGGTATAGTCGCGTGGTACAACCTACTGGTTGCAAGTATTAGCTTATATCGCTTATGACTATTAGATGACGAGGTATCTCGAACACTTCGATTACAGAATTATTGACCATTGAAGAGTGTCTGTTTTTGGGGCGAATATCACTAACAAACGATCAGTACAGTTCTGTGAAGACTTGAATTAAAAATTGGCAAATTACTTGAAGACAGAACACAAAAGGACAGAAAAACAAATTTATTTAACGAATTCGTTAGAACGAGGATTTAACCTTTCAGAGAACTCATTCCGGCTCGCATTATCTCGTCAACAAGCAGTATATTGGAAGAGATTACAGAACTGAAAATATAGATAAAAAAGTGTACTTTAAACCGGTATATTATTAATCCAATTGACATTTTCTAAAAATTATAAAACGTCCCATCATACAACTACTTTGGAAGTGAATCTCCCTGAACACCATCCAGTGAACCGCTCACAAACTATGAAATTTGATGGGAATCTACCATATTTGTAATCACTTAGGGGGAGTGTTAGTGTATCGAAATAATCATGCCTGCTAAATGGAGTGAACCTGCAATGTCAGAAATATATTATTCTGAGAGTCTAAAATGACAAGAAATTCGATATATGTCGTTTTCAGTCCTGATATATCTCTGTAAGATAGGACACAAAGGAAGGCAGTTCAAACCGAACAAGAAACCCATCGACCAAATGGTGAATAGAGCTTACACCTAGTGGATTTTTGAGTGGTCAGGCCGTGGAAGCAAATGCTACCAAGACTTGTATGAGTGGGTCGCTCCATTAAGCGGTTTATATACAAATGCTCGTAGTCTGTAGAATAAATTCAATGAACTAGAAGTACTAGTGGATGAATTAAAGCCATCCAATATAGCTGTGACCGAAACTTGGTTCGTTCATAACTTTAATGTCACCTAAGAGGTGACAGGAATAAATGCAAGAAAGAATGTGGGGTCATTATATGCATAATTATCGATAAAAAATCCTTTCATTTCTTTGTGAAACTCATGACAGTGGGACTTGCGAAGTCACTAGATGTGAACTCGTTTTGCAGGTCGTACCTTCATATTCGGTGTCTTCTATTGTAATCCAAGCCGCTTAGTCGATGTTTTTATTCTAGAGCACATTTAGCTATGGAGTGAGACGCTTTAACCTATTCCCCTAATCCTACTGTAGGTTACGAGGTGGTTCAATACTGGTTTACCCTATTGTGAACGATGATTCGTATCAGTGTTTTCTCTTTCTTGCTGTCTAGGGCTGGTTATTTGAAATGACATTGTAAGAAAGTTCGAAGACCAAGATTAATTCGTTTACGTCGTGAGTTCCGTCTCTCACGTTGAGTAGTGAATGACTGTAATTCTCTTCCAGAACATGTAATATCAGCACCCTCTGTTGATACATTCAAAGCGAGATTGGATCTTCACACTACTATGAACTGCAAGAATTAATGTGGATCGATTTACTTATCATTACAACCGGGTACTAAAGACTACTGTTTTTACGACAGTCATTAATTTTGACTGGTTTTTAATATCTAGCTAATGCTGGACTTTGAGCTCACTAGCTTCCAATAATCACTTATTTTGTAGACGACTGAACGACTCAGAATATTACGTGTAGTGAGAATAAGCTCCATTTTAATCGAATCTCAGTGACCACTTAAATAATTAAGTAAAATTATCAGCGCTCAATAAAAAATGCAGTTAATCTACAAAATATAAATTACGACTGTATAAGCTTACCATGAATTAATTATTTGCTTCTTCACAATGAAGTTGTCATAAACTCCAACCTGAGCAGGGATCATTGCTTCCCCCGTAGTAAGATCAATTCCTACAAGCTGTGTGGGGGAAATACCGTTGCAACGACTATCCACCTTAGTCGCTTCTTCAAGCAATTTCACCATTGTTTCCTGAGCGTCATGACCTGCATTTCTGGCTAGGACTTTCGGAATAACAAGCAACGCATCCGCAAATGCCTGAACGCCGAGACGAGCGCGACCCTTAACAGACTGTGCAAACTTGCACAGTTCGCGGTAAGCAACTAATTCAAACGCTCCTGCTCCTGGAATGACGCACTCTAAGATTCAAAAACACAAGGGTTAAAAAAATATCCCTTCAATATTTGATTTATGAAAGTTGCCAAGTAGTAACTGAAAGAGGTTTTTTCTAATGGCACGGTCTGTTACCATCTAAGGCCTAGAGTGCACATCCATCTGTTTACCTTACATCGACACAGTGAGGAATTAATAAGATGAATAACAGTGGTGCAATTAATTTCAACTGCAATCAAAATTCAAACATGAGCGCTTGTCGCGAATCACGAGGCCGAGAAGTGAGACATAGGCAAAGGAGACAAACTGCGTGGTAGGGTTGTGAATCTTCATCAGGCGATGCAGTTGGAACAAGGATTACACAATCATCTACCGACTTATTGCGTAATGCTGAATCAAACAGACCGCAAACTAGGGGGTGGAAAAACCAAGGCGTGGTATTAATCCATAAATTACCGACTTAATTTAAGTAGTCTGAGTAAGCCCCACCGTAGCTGTTACATTGACATGGTGATCGAACTTGCCTATCAGGATAACCCGACCGATCTATATTGACTGGAACATACGTTCTTCTAGATATTACTGTGCCAGATAAGTCTGTTAGAGAATGGTAAGACTAAAAGCAACAGCTCTAGGTTTTAGGGCGAAGTCGATTTGATAATCGTGGTGGTGTTACAGCAGTAAGATGTTTTCCCCAGACAACTCATAACCAGTAACAGCACACGAGACCAAATTGGTCAAAATCAAATCCTTCCTACACCCCCTAATACCTCTCTTATCTCCATGACTAACTCTTCTCATATTCCTTTACCACACTGCACAGCTAATGCAAACGAAGCGAGTTCGCGAAACGTCGTTCCTGGTCTCCTTAAACCTCGCTCTAGACTACATGTTGGAGCATTAAATGTACAGACATTGTGTCAAATAGGGCAAGAAGCATCATTAGCTAGGACTTTAGAATCTCGTGCCATTGACGTATGCTGCGTCTCGGAAACGCGCATACAGGATCCTAGTAAAATTAATCTGATTTCGCCTTGTTGAAATAAAAAAGCAGCTCGATTCACTCTTCGTGTATCTGGAAGCCCTGATGCTGCTTCCAGGGGTCTTGCTGGCATAGGCATAGCATTGAGTCGTAGGGCAGAACAATCTCTCCTTGACTGAATCCCAGTAGATAGTCGCTTGTGTGCTGTCCGACTAAACGGGACAGTAAGGACTCGGAAAGATAGGGACACTCGCCATTGCCTCTTGGTCGGATCTGCCTATGCCCCCCCCCACTGGCTGCAGTTCAGACGAGGTGAAACATGATTTTAGAGAAAGCTTTCGGACCTCCTTCAAAAAGCTAAGCGCTCTGATACAGTATTAATGGCTGGTGACTTTAATGTTTAAGTAGGTAGACTAAGTGAAAATGAAAGACACCTAGGTGGATGTTATGGTGTACCGGCTCAGAGAACAGACAATGGCGACCGTCTGTTGCAACTATGCTCAGATAGCCGCCTATTCCTAGCAAACACTAACTTTAAGCATAAGGTAAAACATCTTTTGACCTGGCGACCCCCAAGTCGTCTCAACGTTGGACCAAACTCTATCACATTGCCATCAGCCAACGATGGAGGGGTACGATAGAGGACTGTCGCTCGTTCTGGAGCACATGTCTAGATTCAGATCATGCCCCAGTGCGAGCACGTATTTGTTCGCGACTTACCGGACGTAGGAAAGACAACGCGTAAAAACCTTTTAGGGTTCTACATGATGATAGCAGAGCTATGAATATATATCTGGAAAAACAGTTAGGCAACCATGTAAGCGATTCCCATCCGCAGGCAGCTTGGAATGATATTAAAAAAGCTGTGGAAACAGCAGTGAAATCTGCTGGTAAAGTAAGGAAGAAGACGTGGATCTCAGTATCATCAACCGAACTGATAGGTACTCGTAAACTCATCCCACCTGGGTCTGAACATGATGTAGAACGAAGACAGCTTAAGTGCAGGCTGATAGGAAGCCTACGCAACGACTGCGAACAGTGGTGGGTAGCGAAAGCAAGAGATGGAAAAGACAGCGGTGATAAGCAACAGTAGACAACTATTCAGACTCATCAAGGAAACTGGTATTATGAACCCTAATGAGAGTGAGACGATTTCGGAAAAGGATGGGACTATTATTTATTCTCAATCCAGGAGACTGGACCGATGGGCAGAACACTTTAGGGATCAGTTCAACTGGCCTTCAGCCACACTTCGGTTACCCACGATCTCCAGTCATCCTGAATGGCAAATCGACGTAAGTCCCCCTAGTCTTTATGAAGTTCAGAAACCTAGAGTATGCCCCTGACATAGTTCTTTTAGGTGAATACGCTGACAAAATGCAGAATCTTCTGACCATCCGAAGCAACAACGCAAGCATGTTCGGGATGCTGTTTTCCCCTTCAAAATGCAAAATGTTGCTTCCGGATTGGCTTGCATCGGCACCTGAACTAGTGATAGGAAGTGTAGCAGTTGAGCATATTGACCGCCCCACTTACCTTGGTAGTCTCATTAGCCGTGGTCTGGTGTGATGAAATCTCGACAGGGATACACAAAGCTTAACTGGCTTTTGCTGACTTACGTCAGATATGGAGTAGGCGAGATATCCGTCTACTAACCAAAGGACGAGATTGCTTCGTAGAAGTTCACTCCGTCCAAATATACGGGTGTGAAACATGGCTAGTAAAAGTAGAGGATATCAGTATGTTACTGTCACAAATCCATGAAGTCACTGACAAGTGGACTGAGTCATGTCGGTAGGTGTCAACTACCTGGTTGGGGTCCGCGAGATAATAATCGATGACTAGAGACCCTGAATGACATGGCTCAAAACCGTTTGCAATGGTGCAAGTGTATCCGCTCTATGTGTTCCATGAAAATCTAACCTAAATTCCTCATCACCTATCTTTCTCGTTCTTAATTTACGTCACTGAATTATACTTCTTGAATAAACATCTTGGAACCCTAATCTGTCCGACTACTTCTGATACTTTTACCACCTCTACTACTATGGGATTTGAACTGACAATTATATCTCTGTGCCAATGTGTTTCGGCAACTTATACTGATGTATACGAAGTACTACGTCGTACCTCACTGTGTTGGTAGGTGTATTTTATATTTGGATACTTGAGTGAAATGGTCTATAATCAGTTGAAGTGACGTAAATTCATTTATCCGTCAACTATTTTTGAATTTTACGCTGCAATAGTAATCCACACTCTAAATTTTGAGAGTTTATTTTGTCTACCTACAATGTCTACAATATATGTTTATGAGTATTACTGGTACCATAATATTTATTACTTTATTTATTTTATCGCTTTTATTTCTTCTACTGTGAGATGGTGTTAAAAATCGGGGTGATGCATATTTGCGCTAGGTTTCATTTTACTTATAACTGAGGTAAACCACAAGGCTAGGATGAAGCAGAGGATTTCAGTCGCATCCACCGAACTGATGGAAGCTCGGAAACGCATCCCACCTGACTCTGAATATGATGAAGAGCGTAGTCAGCTTAGGCACAGACTTATAAAAAGCCTACGTAACGACCGTGAACAGTGGTGGGTGGCGAAAGCAAAAGCGATGGAAAAGGCAGCGGCGATAGGCAACACTAAACAACTTTTCCGCCTTATCAAAGAAACCGGTATTAGGAACCCGAATGTAAGTGAGACTATCTCGGAAAAGGATGGTCTTATTATCCATTCTCAATCTAGTAGGCTGGACCCATGGGCAGAACACTTTAGGGATCAGTTCAACTAGCCTCGAGCCACACTTCGGTTGCCCATGATCTCCAGTCATCCTAAATGGCAAATCGATTTAAGTCCTCCCAGTTTACATGAAGTTGAGAAAGCTATAGGAAATCTAAGAGGAGGTAGAGCGGCAGGTTCCGATAGGCTTACCCCCGAGATGTTTAAGGATGGTGGTCCAGTTTTAACAGTTAGACTGACCGAGATACTAGGTAGAATCTGGGAACTGGACGTAATCCCATCTCACTGGTCTCAGTCGCTAATTGTCCCAATCTACAAGAAAGGACAGAAGTCCTCTTGTGACAATCACAGGGGAATAAGTCTAACTAATATAGTTTCTAAATTGTTAGCCTCGATTATACTTAGACATCTAACTAGAGCTCGTGAAGAGCAGACTAAAAAAAACAGGCTGGTTTTCGACCTGGGCGTGGTTGTATAGACCGCATCTTCACACTACGACAGGTCCTGGAACACAGACACACATTTAGACGTCTGACAATAGTCTTGTTCCTGGACCTAAAAGCGGCATTTGATTCAGTGGATCGTGAGGTTCTGTGGCAGTGTCTGTCATTGAAAGGTGTACCAAAGAAGTACATTAACCTTATACAAGCACTCTACTCGAACACCACTGGTCGGGTGAGAGCATATGGCGAACTGTCATCTGAATTCTCTACATCAAGTGGTGTCCGTTAGGGCTGTCCACTCTCTCCATTCTTGTTTAACTTTGTCGTAGACATCCTCTTAGAGTTAACATTAAGCTCGTCAGATTTTTCAGGGGTTTACCTTCTGCCAGGAAAGTCGCTTACTGATCTAGAATATGCCGATGACATAGTACTATTCGGTGAAGACGCTGACAAAATGCAGTCTTCTGACTACCCTATGCAACAATGCGAGCATGTTCGGGATGCGGTTTTCCCCCTCGAAATGCAAAATGTTGCTTCAGGACTGGGTTGCACTGGCTCCTGAACTAGTGATAGGGAGTGAAGTGGTCGAGCGTGTGGACCACTTCACTTATCTGGAGAGTCTCATCAGTGCTGATGGCCTGGTGACTGACGAAATCTCAGCTCGGATACAGAAGGCTCGATTGGCTTTTGCCAACCTGCGTCACTTATGGCGTAGGCGTGATATCCGTTCGCTAACCAAAGGGCAGGTGTACTGTGCAGCAGTTCGTTCCGTTCTCTTATATGGATGCGAAACATGGCCGTTAAGAGTAGATGTTCGTAGGTTACTAGTATTCGATCATAGGTGTCTTCGAAGCATTGCTCGTATATCGTGGGACAACCGAGTAAGCAATGCTGTCGTTAGGAAACGAGTAATAGGTAAGGATGGCAGATCAATAGATGAAGCATTGAAACTTCATCAGTTGAGGTGGTTAGGACATGTGTTACGTATGCCTAACCACCGACTGCTCCGACGAGCTGTTTTGTGGTGTAGGAGTAGGTTGGAAGAAAGTTAGGGGCGGCTAGACCAAAACATGGCACAAATCTATGAAGTCACTGACAACTGGACTGAGTCATGTCGGTAGATGTAGACTACCTGGTTGGGGTCCGCGAGACGATAGTCATCAATGGTTAGAGACCTTGAACGACATGGCTCAAAATCGTTTGCAATGGCGCAGGTGCATCCACTCTTTGAGCTCTCTCAAATCCTAATCTTCTGGATTCGTCAGCACTACTACCTTTGTCTTTCTAACCTTATCTCACTGAATTATACTTCTTGAATAATATCTTCGAACCCTAGTCTTCTTTATTAACATTAATACCTCTACTATCTTTATCACTATGGGATTTGATTTGACATTTGCGTCTCTGTGCTGTGGTATGGCAACATGAACTTATGTACATACGTACTAAGTTCTACGTTGCAACTGACTGACTGACTTATAACTGGTTTAGTTGAAAACAGAAAACGAGATTGAATTTAGAGTCATAATAACAACCCCAAGTTTGAAGGGCTTTTGCAAGCCTTTACGTTGATAGGAATCCACCAAAGAAACCCATTAGGTTAGAGGACATACTTAAGTTACAAGCATTCACTTATAGGTGTCTTTGATGCATTACTTGAATAGGAACTAGCGTGAGTAATGTTTACGGTTAGTCACTTAACAGCAATAGGTCAATACATACTAATCTGCTGTGAAGTATACCCAAAATTTGGTTGGTAGATGGCTATATTTGAAACAGGCATTTTAAAATTAAATGAACGATGAGTGACTAATCTACGTATCCACGTCTACATCGGGAACCTGTGATGCATTAGGTTTTTCAGGTTTGCTGTTCGCAAGTTTTAATTTAGTGTCAGACAATTGTGAATACTTATGTTCTAGACTGCACTTCGTTATCCCTGTCAGTAACAAGATATTCATCATTTTTTGTACTGGGGAGATTATTCTGAATCTAGAAGCATATTTTTTTTCTAAACCTAGTTTTTACTGCTGCTATTACCACTACTACCATGGGGTTTTTTATAATCATTTTACCTCGACATACAAATGTGGTGCAGTGACTTAATGACGAGTAAAGCGCTATGATGTATATGACTGATGTTAATATCTTAGTTCAAATGTCTAAACTAGGTCATCAATGAAATAATCATTTAGTCAGCTCCTCTTCCCTGGGTCGTAAATTTCTCGACTTAGAGAATTGACTATGATCTTTAACATTAACATTTAGTATTTAGGAATCAGCTGCGTTGTTTGAGGTTTACTGATCACGAACGTAATAGCTGCCTGACAGTTATCTTACACAAGGCAGGGTATGCACTGAAAACTGCGAAACGACACTGTAGAAAACATAAACTATAATAGACACTGAAGTGTAAGTCATTAGAAGGACTACATGCTGGCAAGATTTTGATTCTAGATGAGTGGATTTAGCGCCGACTCAGACATCAGCCATGATATACGAATGGATGCCAGACTTTTAAGATAGTGCCAAGTATTATTCGTACTTACAAATGAACGAAGACAAATTTTAATACTTTCTTACCATCTTCTAATGTATTTTTTATGGCGCGCAGCCCGTCATTAACGGCGTCTTTGATCTGGTTCAGTGTGTGCTTATTTGGCCCACGCATTAGCAAAGTTACAGACTGTGGATTTTTACATTCCTCGATAAATGTGTATTTTTCTTCGCCCTAAAAATAACTTCAACTTTAAAAAACAACGTACTAGGACAAATTCATATACCACGCCCGCATGTCCGAGGCAATCAGGTGACATCTCGTCGACTGAGTTCAAGGCATATCCACCACAGGCAAGAGTTACCCTTTCCATATTGCGTTTCTTAGCGCGACGAAGAGCAAGTATTCCTTCTCGAGCAAAGGCATCTAACGAGAATGGATCAATCCCTTTTTGATTAATGATTACGAATCCAGGTTTGTCACCATCACCACGAACTTCACCACACACTTTTCTTTTTAAAGCTATCACTTTCTGAACTCTTGCCTCAATAAACTCTCTTTCAGACTTCACAAGAGCTGCTCTCTCTTCTGCTGTTTTATAAAAGAATCCGGAATTGACCTCACTATTTTTTAATAATTATATATCTAACTTACGTTTTTTCGTACTCGAATGAGACGTTACAAGTCAGAATAAATGCATTAGTTACGCGCTTAGGCATATCTGGATGTCTGCCCCCATGATCTAACACCAGCCCTTTTACAAGTGTTGTGTCCATATCGGTTTTATGTTGCATCTGCATTAGTTCTACCCGATGCAAGTCTAAAGGTTCATTTGGCCGCCGAATTGATAACACAGCATCTACAACATGCTACAAGTGTCACACAAGCAAACAGTTACCTCAGTTAAAAGGTTAGCTAAATCAGAATGAACTTTTGTACTAAGGGATGTTGCCGCGACGGACATGAGTGTACTCCTGTCTGGCATCTCTGATGGACAGTCTATCCGACACTTGGAGAGTATTTCTAAGCATTTATTTCGAGCGATATCGAACCCTTCTGTAATGAGACGTGGATGAAGTCCTTCAGAAGTGTGAACATCTGCCTGTTTCAGTAACTCAGCAATCAGAAGAACATTCGACGTTGTGCCATCACCTGTCATATCATCTTGAGCAGTCGCTACACGAGCAATAAGACTTGCAGTGGGATGCTGTATTTGCATCTCATGAAGCAAAACATTGCCGTCCTTGGTAATCTTGATGTCGCCTGAACCAGAAACGAGCCTTAAACAAATATCAAACGGTACTACTAGCTTACATTTTCATGGTCCCTTTAGGACCAAGGTTAGTTTTCAAAACATCGTAGAGCCCTCTAGCAGCTGCCAAATTAATACTGAATGCATGTTGAGCCTTTGCAAACTCTGCTTTAGGATTAAGAAGAGAAATAGAAGCCATTGACTGAACCACGCGCTGGTTTGAAATCAGCACAAACAAGCAACCAAGGTTAACGAAGCCTCTGGAAAATCGATGTACAATTCAGTCTTCAGTCAACTGCATCATAGAACTTCGTACATATATCAGTTCAAGTAATCGTACCACATTAGCACAGAGATCGAATTGTCAGTTCTAATCTCATAGTATCAGAGGTAGCAGAAGTATTAGCAGTAATGAGGAATTTTAAGATTTGAAGATATTATTCAATAAGTATGATCCAAAATCCAATATCTTTTTCACAATCCAGTATAAACCAGTTAATTTCTTTGCGCTCGGTTCTTGATTTTTCAGTAAGGTTACAGGTGTTTGGTAGTGTCCACTGAATGGGGGTCTAGCCATTCGACTGTTTAATTCTAGTCAGTTTGCAGTTGGCTGAGTTTGTATGTCTCGGGATTCGAATGTAAACGTTTGTTTCAGGGCAGTAGTGTTTCTGGATACCAACAGCTATCACATTACCAGACCGGAGACCAGTCAATTGCGATGTGAAGAATAATGATTGGAAAACTCTAATGCTAATAAGACTTCAGAATTAAGTAAACAAATACATAATTTAGTTTATTAATTGGTAGTGAAGATTGTAAGAGAAGAAGTAAACAAGTGGGAGGGAACAGAGATGAGAGGCGAGATAGATTAAGTAAGTGATTTGAGGAGATAGCAATGATAACAACTAGCAGGTTCCAAGATATACATCATGTACAGCATGTCTAAGAGGGAGATGATAATCCGTATGTGAGTACGTGATTATCAAGTCTCTTCTTAAAGCTGTCCATTGAGCGAGCTGTGGTCACCTCGGCTGGGAGAACATTCCAAGTTACGACGACTCTCAATGAGAAAAAGTGTGCACGGACCCGAGCATTCACTCTTTGATGTGCAATTTTTCGAGGATTGCTTCGAGGGGAGTGGTGGTGGCGGATTAGTAAGATGCTCATGTTGGGATGGTTTGGCGTACTCAATAGGTTGTACGCCATAATCAGATCACCTCTGATCCTCCTGTAGCTTAGTGGAAATAATCTCAAGTGCTGGAGTCTATCTTCGTAAAGTTTATTTTTAAATTCTTTCACCCATTTCGTTACTCGTCTGTGCACTCGATCCATGAGATTATGTCTCTTGTAAGCAGAGGCGGTGCGATGACTATGTGAACCACCAGGTGTGGGCGTGCATACGTCTTAAATAGTGTTAAAAATAATTGTGGTTTGATAGCACCAAGCTGTCTTCGCATAAAGTGAAGAGTCGCATTTACCTTGGCTGCGTCCCCTATATGGTTCGGACTCGCCTGGAGGATCATGTGGTTATTAAACTGAGATCGCGCTCTGAGGAGACATTAGGGAGTGGACTTCCATTGAGGGTGTAGATCGTTTGCGTCATGTGGGACAGAATATACATGACGTGGCACTTTCGTTGGTTGAGTTTTAGACCGTTTTTCAATGCTCATTCCTCGATAGATGTGAGGTCCTGTTGAAGCTCAGCCGAGACACATCGCTTCTAATGGACCTCAAGATCTTCCCATCGTCTGCGAAGATCAATGCCGGCATGCAAACTGGTCCTAACAAACCGGTAATCAATATCAAGAAGATCAGTGGACCCAAGATGATCCTCTGTGAAACCCCCAAAATGTATACTCGTCAGCTCGCGTGCACACAATTTACCTTGGTACGAAACTTTCTATTCTCAAGGTAGTTTCTGAGCCAAGATATGAGTGGATAAGTAAAGCCCATTTTCACAAACTTCGCGATTTGGCGTGCGTGGGATACTGTGTCAAAAGCTTTTGCAAAGTCGAGAAATATTACGGTCCAAGCAGGATATCCAACTGTCCCATGCAATGAGAAGATTAGATGCACATGACCTGTCTTTCCGAAACCCTTGTCGAGCTTCATAGAATATTTTATTCTTATCCATATACTCCCTCATTTGTTCGTCCGAAAGCAAAGTTCACTGAAGTGAATTTTTCTACATTTCCTAACAAAATTTGGAGAAGAATCCTTTGGATATGTTATTATCAACAATAACTGAAGAAACGAAACCGGCGAATTCTTATATCTGATCATTATTGTATTAATAATTTGGAGTTTATTTCCCGCTGAATTTCAGGTGCTTTGATGAATTCTCGTAAGAAGAAGAAGCTAAGCTCGAATCTGGGTACAAGCTATTAAGAACGGCTGAATGAGGATTCTAATGGTAATAAGGAATTGTCTTCAGATTTTCTTTGCT